CTTCTCTCCTGGCCCAGCCCACACCCTGTTCTCTACTCCAGCAGGCCCACCTCTCTTGCTCAACTCTCTGGCCCTCGCAGTCAAAGTTTGCCTTTTGGGAATCTAAACTTTTAAACAGCAAAAGGTGAATCAAATCGTGCACCGAAAAATATATATAGTTGAATGTCTGCCCACACTCTTTCTTCTATGAATATGATCCTAAAATTTAACCATTCTGCAACCATTTTGGTAGGAAGCACCCAAAGATTAAAGCTTAAAAGAAGAGGGCAGTGGTGATTGCATATAAACACCAAAATGTACTTTCCCTGTGAAAGATTAGAGAAAAGGGAGGACTAACCTCATTTATGTTTTAGAAGGTCAGCAAATATGACACTATTTGGATGTGCATTCTTCCAATTTCTCATCCGAAACACTCTTTACCAAGCTGAAATGCTTTTTCTAAGTTCTAAGCTATGTTTGGATCCTTCAAAATTCCGCCGCATCGGTTACGGATCTTCCAAAGATGCATAACTTTTGGAGGACCCGACACACACCTAGTGGCATTTTGGAGGATCCGAGCAACATAGATTCTAAGCAAAGTTAGATCTCTTCTACCACTTTTTAGCACCTTGTCAAGCTTTTAAGAAAACTAGATATCTTCTTGAGCAAGTCTTCCTTTAATTAGAAGGACAATGAATAGGGAACAGCATGCTTGTTCAAAAAAGGAAAAGCTTGTTCAAAAATGAATAGCTAACAGCATGAAGGCACAAAAGCTAAAAATGCAAATAAGAAATATAGCAATATACTGAGTTCAGAGGAACTATATGACAAATCCCTCTATCTGACAAGAACCAACAATCCTCATCCTCCTCCTCCTTCCATTTTTTCTAGTAGAAAATCTTTACGTCACATTTAGGCACTCATGTTGGACAAGAAGAAGAAAATGGAAGGTATGAACAAAAATTTCTTAAGCATTAACTTTTGCGTACTTATCTCAGACTTAATTAAATGGATAGATAAAGGAGTATCAGAGATCATTTTTCTATTATCATTCCAATGAAAGTGGGTGGAATAGAGAAAATTACATAGGAGTCAGATCCTGACCTAAAACTAGTTTGAGATTGAAGCATAGTTGATTGATTGATAGTATCAGGATCCTAAGGAAAAGAAGTTGTCACTCTAAGAATACCATATCAATATTTGCTGGTTCAAATTTTACCGAGGCAAAAAGAAGGCATACTCAATATTAAGACCAGACATGGAAGGCATCTCAAGTTTGACGGAAGGAGACTCATATAAGGTGGCTGAAGTAGCCTTGATAAGCAATCAGGCTTAATGGCCAGATGATGCCTCTTAAGAAGCTTCGGCAGATTGCATCCCAAGTATTGCAAGGTCATAAATTCAAGAGTCTCTCATTTACAAGTTCTGCTGGCAAAAAGACTCGGGAATGTCATAAAATTCGTGGTTTTCAAAATCAAGCTTAATATTGCACTCAAAATCAGAATTCATAGCTTTCTCACCATAAAAGTATCAGAAAGAGATGGGTTTCACATTCTAATGTTGAGAGCCACTAGAATGGTAGAAATAGCTCAGTGTTTACATTCAAATTAAAACAGTCCTGGTGCAAAACCGAAGCTTAAGATTTCAGCAGAGAGGGAATCAACCAAACACTTCACCCATGAATAAAGTGCGAAGAATCAAGGGGAACGTTTTCTTCAGAAACACATACAGGCAACAAAATCGCAGGACCTCCATCATCATCGATATCCGGCATAGCATCGCCATTCAAATCAAGATCAGAAGACCTTTTCCACTCAGGTGTTACAGGGCAAACAACCATTTCAGGTTTTTCCTCATGATAAAAGGCATATAAAGCATCAATATAGTCTGGCTTATAGATCCCAGGAGGGCGAGCATCAGCAAAAATTTTGATTGCCTGCATAAAAATACTCTCATTATTCAGAGATGTGGTGTAATTAGAGGAAATAATTATTCAGTATAGCAAAATTCCTTACCTGAGTGACAGATATCGGCAGCGTACGCATAAGAAAATGAATGATCATGAACCCAGTGCGATTAAACCCATGTGTGCAATGCACAAGAATATACTTCTTCACATCTTTCTGACGGACAAGAAATTGTGAAACCTGATAGAACATAAATGTTAGAATCTGATTCCTTTCAGTAGCAAATGGCATTCAATGAGGATGTGAAATAGTTACCTCTCTTCACTTAAACAGAATAATACTCAGATGACTGTGTGCTTCTCATCTATGCAGTGATTCCTAATGCTTATAAAACCTAACTAGAAGTTAACAGAACACCTTTCCTATATTCTAATAGTATTCTTTTTTATCTGAGACAAATTCTGACTAAATACAGTTTTCATTGCAAAGACAGTATTCCCGCAACTTATGCACTAAATACCCAAAAGGCTCTTATCTCAAGGATGTTCAAGTTACTCAAGCTTTGATTATTCTCTCTTTCCTTTTTTTCTTTTTTTCCTTTTTTGGGGGATGGTTGAGACAGAAGCGTGCGAATTGGGATAACCCAAGGAGGACATGCAGGCATCAAACAATGCTCCTTTTCCTATTAATAAGAGTATGTCACTGTGCACTAAGCTCTTGCTATGTACGGGGTCTAGGAAATGGCCGGACCACATTCGGTCTACAATGTGCAGCATTACCTTGCATTTCTGTAAGATTTGTTTCTATGGCTTGAACACGTGACCTCCTGGTCACACTGACACAGCAACAACTCTTACAGTTTCCCAAGGCTCCCCTTTCAAAGAATAGAGTACATCTATAATGTAACATAGACATTTAAATGACATCTACCTTACCTTTCTCGAAACAGCTCTTTTTTCTATTCTCGAAAAAATTACATACTAACTACGACATGTGCTCTCCCCACTTGATTAACAAACAACAGATGTTAATAATCGCACCAAGTGTAACATGTCACAATAAATATGTAACAGAGAGAGCAAGAGCCGACCTAACCAGGGATGATAAAGGTATATAATTACTTCTACCTGGTAAGTAATGCAAGCAAGCTCATCCTCACACAAAAATTCAAGTAAAACTGCAACTAAAAATATATACTTACCTCATAGACAAATAAATGGCAAGACTCATTGTCAGGTACAGCATCACGGCCTTTGCATGGAATCTAATACACATGAAGAGTTAAAAAATCAGAACCACCATAATTCAAGGAGAAATAATACTCCCCCACCACCTATTTGCTTCCATGACGTTATTACCATGTACCAACCTTTACATGTTTGATGTCTTCTTTCCTCCATTCTGACGATGAATAGTATCGCGTTGTATTTGTGAGATCAATCACCATACCAAGCTGAAAATTTTAACATGTAAAGAGTCAGTTGTAGCCTATGCACATGCTTTGACGTCAAGGCAACCAAAAACAACTAAGGAGTCAAAAAATTGAGAAGGCATCTAGTGATTCTATCATACTAAGTGGCAATACAAAAGAGAATATAAGCCTCCTGTTAGATATAAAACATCTCCAGGTCATTATATTTTATCAAAGACATAAAACATCTCTAAGACAACAACTAATAAGCAGCAGATTGTTTTCAAATTAACTGCACTGCCAACAATGTAACAAGAAATGCCTCAAACAGCAATACAATTTCTCCTCATAAAACCTTCTAGGACTCGGACATTTTCAAGATAAAATCCACGCCAAGGGGATGAACAAGGACCCATATTCAGGTTAACACGCTCACCTTTCTTCCCAAAACTTTCTGTTGGTGGAGGACTTGCCTCAACGAGTATCTTTTGCCAGGAAGAACACAGTAGTTGAAAGTTTCATCGAGAGGAACCTTTGAAGGAATAATGCGACCTATCTCCCGCCCAGATGCAGGACAATCCAACCAACCTGCATCCGCAATCCGCAAGATAAATGATGTAATATTACTAAGGGAAGTCAAGAAGGAGGAAACAGCGAGAGAAACAAGAACCTATGTTGAAATAAATAGCAACCTAAAGATACATAGATGACAAAGAAAAAAAAGGACTATACAGAGGGAAGCAGGAATCAACTGCGACTAATACAAGTCATCCACAGACACAGAGAAAGAGATAGAGAGATAGTGCGATAGAGAGAGAAAGAGAGTAAACATGCATGACAGCTCTTATACAACTAGCACTCTAGGAAAAACCCAGTAACCTGGAGGAAGTCTGCTGCTAGGCTTCTGTGTCTTTGTCAGATAAATCTCATCTTGCATTCGTGGCTGAGATGGATATGTTGGTCTATCATCTGGACGGTGTCTTTTAAGTCTTTGAATCCTTTCCTCCCGCTCCTAAAACAAATAGCATTTAGAAAGAGGGCATGGAAACTACAAAAACAAAAATCAAGTCTCCACAATATTAAGATTCACAAGAACATACCCCATCTATGGGTACTTACTCCCCTGTCGCCTATCCCTTCCCACTGCCACAGAAAGAAGCAAATCCTATTTCTTTAACTCCCAACCCCCACCGCCAACAAGATTGGTGGAAGGAGGTACAGCGTGTTGGCACCAAAAATGTTCCCATTAGATCAGTCAGATAGCTGACTTGAAGATGACCAAATTACCAACAAAATGCAGAATTTCCCGTTAATCAAAGGATAATCTACTCAACAACCTAAATGACTTCCCCCTTCCATACTTTTTGCTGAACCCCAAACTGCTTGCTTGGCAAACCAGGGGGTAAAAAAGGAAATCAATTACCAAAAGAATCTAAAATAAGATAATCCACGCTCTTCATACCTAAGGCCCCATCCAAGAATCTTGAGCCAACATATAAGAGTTCAGATTAACATGTTCTGCACTTGCGAACTGACGTAGCTTCAACACCGGTATACCAGTAAGACTACAGCAGCTTCAGGTTAAAAATCAGTGTAGACAACTCAAGCTCCTGGATTGTGCTAAGCTTAAGTGTGGTTTGCTTTGGAGACAAGTTATGCGGGGAAAAGTAATGTTGGGATAGGTAATGCATGGATTGTTTATGTGGGGAATAGTAATGCAGGGATTGTTATGTGGTGAATAAAATCGAAAGAATTATTGTACAGTGATTAATAATAATGAAGAGATTATTGTTATACAGGAACTACTTACTTTAAGGGTACTTTTGTCTTTAAATGGTCTAATCCACACATTGCTCATACAAGAATTCTTATTCCACATTCTACTCTGCATAGAATATTAGAATAATACATAGATTTTCGCATAACTTATGCAAGTATTACAGTGTTGTTAAAAGCGAAAAGCGTCAGAAAAGGCTCCAGTTCTATCAGGGCTTTAAGGACAAAGCACAATTGAAGTGTGAGCTTCAGTTAAAAAGGCACAACAAAGGGAAAAAATACACATGTAATGCAAGAAAAAAAAAACTACTTCATCCATAATGATTTCCTTAACAATTAACATATCCTGTTGTCAATTAGTTTAACTGCTTGGAACAGCTCTATCCAAGACAGAATTATGGGCAATGAGGCGCACAGCTTGGTGCTTTTGCCTTCACCGGGGCATAGCCTAATGAGGCGAAGCGCTTACATTGAGATTCTCCAAGGTTCAGCTCTTAAGTGCGCCTCAAATGAGCCTTTGACAATATAAAAGTATTATTTATAAGATGATACGAAATTGCAACCAACCGATTATAAAAATTTAATGAGGAGATTAATTCTCCTCATTCAAGCAACCAAAGAAGGTACTGGTTATGCTGAATTTGGTGAAGAGATTAATTCTCCAATTCAAGTAACCAAATGTGGCTCTAAGGGATAAGGAAAATCCAACACTTAGACATATTCAAACAAAGAAAATTCAACACTTGGGATGCTTTCTCAAGTAACTTTCCATCTGTTTGAAAATATGCCTAAAAATAGTAGTCTCCAAACTTGCCTGAAAGACAGTTTTAGAAAGCTTTAAGCTGGCTATTACTCTGCTGAAGACAAGCAGCAAAGAAACATCAACAAAAAGGAGACAAGTATCGAACAAAGAGCCAAAATAAAATAAAATAAAGAACCAAGTTCAAGTAACAGTACAGCTCAATAGTTGATATAGCAAGTAGTAGAGACAGAGACGTACCCGTCGTGAAATCTCAACAGCACTCGCAACATAATCTGCATGTTCATGGCTATGTTTCACAATGAATTCTTCTGGTTCATCTTCTAATTGTTGTCCAAAAATCTCTTCGTCATCCTCTGGATGAGGCAAGGCATTCAGATCCATGCAGACAATTCAAGGCTCACCACAAAGCATATGTCAAGGTGCCTATAAGCATTTATTAGGACCACAAGGAAGCCATCACAATTATGTTCCTACAACAAATAAGACGTAAATCAAAATATCCAACAACATGGCCAAAAAGAAAGCTGATATTCTTAAGCGATAACCGGGAGTAGAGGCGGAGCCATGATTTTAAGCTTATGGGTTTGGGATTCTAGCTCTTTTAAGTTACTGGGTTCTAAAATAATAATTTGTAATATTTCATGAATTTCACAAGACAAATACAGAGTCTGCTCAAAAGCTACTGGGTTCGACCGAACCCGTAAGCGTAAGGTTAGCTCCGCCCCTGACCGGGAGGGCTGAATTTATTCAAGTTTCCATAAAGCATCATTCAAGTTTTAAAAGTTAATGTAAGCAAACAAAGATCATAAATTCGGATACCAGAAAGAAATACATCAATGTATTGGGTACAAAAGGAAACGATACTGCTGTAGAGATGATATGAAACAGAATAACAATTGAATCAGAGTAAAAAATACAACCGAAACAATACTGGAGTCGAGATGACATGAAACAGAATAACAATTGAGTCGAGTCAAAGAATACAACCCTTTTTAGTGCTAGAGAACTAGAGAGAAAAGAAACATATCAACCCAAAAAGGAACAAAAAAGTCATAGTACTTTCCTACAACGCCGTTATTTGGTTTTCATTTGGGGTTTCCAATACACAACATGGTCACTTTTGAAGGAACGAGGTTGTTTATGAATGACCGTAGATGTGAAGTGACAAGGCAAATAAAGGTAATATTTTATTTTGATGACTGTGGTATCCAGGCTAGTTGGATACACCTCGACTAATTTCATGGTGTACCTGCTCCAGTACAAGTATCGGGAAACTCTATCCACCAAGACCTGGACAGATAGAAAGAAATCACCTAGTAATTTTACCTTTGCTAGGATTTGAACTCGAGACCTCATGGTTATCAACCCACTTCATTGTTCACTAGGCCACACCCTTGAATTCCAAAAAAGGATAATTATGTCTACATGAGCAAAACCATCCATGAAAGAGGAACTAAAGCGTAAATATAATTTTGAGAACTCGAGGAACTGACCGAACCTCGAACGATAAGGGAGGTCCATGAAATTAACCGTTTGAGACAATACGCACATGATATTGTTCATGTACACACTATCCTCCACAGACCCCACTTGTGGGATTACACTGAGTTTGTTGTTGTTGTATCGTTCACGAGTTATGGGTTTACCTTATGGTCCCATCCAGAGTTCACATTTAACTTTGTTGCTTCGGACACCGATGCATAAACACGTAAAAAATATAAAAAATTCCAAATATTACGAAGTTGAAACTTTTTTTTTTGGAGGAAGAGAAAATAGGCATTCATTTGGCCGGAAGTTGAACATTTTTTCATAACTGAGAAATCTCGAAGGCCAAGAGCATAGTTCAAAACTCAGTAGATATTGGACCCATCCCTCTACACTTCACCACTTAAATATCAGGCCTCTATCTACGGGAAGGTTGGAACTCATGATGCGGGCCTAATTCATACATCACACTACACCCTTACCGCATTGAAAAGAGTGAAGAGTTAGTTGAATAACAAAATACAATTAATATGAATGGCTATATCTTTATAACAGCTTGATCTTTCACAAAAGGAAAGTTCGGCATGTAAAGAATGGGTCAAGTGAACCAAAGGGGACAAGATAGGATAGTGAAGACACTAAAGGCCTTCACTTATCAAACTGAAAATCTAATGAGGGGTTGAGGAAGTACTTCTAAAAGAACTGTTTTCCTAATGATCCGAAATAAAAGTTCATCAAAAGTGAGATGCTTAACGATCAAATGAAATAATAATGAGGGATTGAAGAACTATTACTCTAAAGAACTGTGTTACTTATGATCCAAAAAATAAAAGTTCATTAAAAGTGAAAAACATCTGAGGTAATAAGAGAAAAAAAAGTAAAAAAGGAGCTTTTTTACTCTCAGAACGGGTATTGCCTTCAAGCAAATTTATTGCATCTTTTTTACTCCTCTATTCCTCGTCTCGTTCCCACCTTACCTGACCCTTCTCTCTCATGGATGCAGTCTAGACAAAAATCTTCAGGAATATAAATACTACTATCATGTTATATTATCTACCAAATTAAGCCGTCAATTAATCATTACATTTTAAAATTTGAGATATAAGCCGTCAACTACAAAAAGAGCTCAAACCTTGAGGGAAACCAATTGCATTAACTCAGCTTGAAACCAGAGGAAAATTCCCTTTACCGTACAGCTAACTCAAAAACCCTACAATTAAGTAGAAATTTTACAAACTCAAAACCCTAGAAAAAGAAACCAAACTGCGGTATTGTGAGAGCGGGAGATCAGACAAATTTAAGGCTCAAAACAAAGACAATGATTACCGATTGCAAAGAATTGAAAGTAAATGGATGATTGATTGAAAACAGAGAGATACGAGAAGAGACAGAGGCAAAAGCACCGTTTTACTCCTATAAAATCCTAACAAAATAGTTTTCTGCTGATTATTTGCTATAATTTTTAGGGAATTTTCTTAATTATTTGCATTCCTATGCTTGTTTAATTTTTATTTAAATTATAAATAAAAAATACCAAAATATTATGCATTGCATTTAGGATTTATTTTTATATTTTTAAAATTAATCAGTAATTATTTGCTTTATAAAAATTTAAAAATCACAAAAATAACTTATTTTTACATTTTTGTTGTTTTATTTTAGTTTATTGATTTTTCTCTTTTAATTTAGAATTAATGTGATGTTTACAATTTTATAATAGGTTAATTAGTTAATTTCACATTTTTTTAGATAATTTAGGATTTTTTTTAATTGTAAAAATTTTTAATTTAAAAAAAGAGAGAGGAAAAAAAGAAAGAAAAGAAAGGAATTTAAAATAAAAGAAGAGGAATACACGAGTATTAATTGGACCCATTTTTAATCTCCCAAATCACCCCCAAATTCGGCCATTGTCAAAATTGGGCCATCTTGCATAATTGCCCCCTCAAAATCAATTAACCCACAACCCAAACACTTCCCTCTACAGCTCCAACCCAAAAAAATCGGACCAAACCCATTTGTTTTTTACCCGCCCGGCTCCCCACTATATAAGGTCTTTATAATTTTTTCTCAATCCAACCCTAGACCCAAATAAGCAGAGAAACGGCGCCCCACTACTATTCATCTTCTTCCTCACTCATTCAACCCTCGATTCAGGCCTGGAACTCAGGCGAGTTCACTCAAATAGGACCCTTCCCCTCCGCGTCATTTGATTCTCAATGATTTTTGTCAGAAAGAATACGAATATTCTCTCAAAATCGTATGATTTATGTACTATAGGAATGATTTGTTGGATGAATGGGAGTCGTGGATAGATGTAAATCGATCCACGCCTTCCATTTGTCCCAAAAATCGTTCAAAAATTTGAAAACTTTCGAATTTTTTGGGCAGAAGATTGGAGATTTTTGAAGGCTATATATATGAGGTAAGTTTCTTTGCTGGGCGGACGAAAATCAGAGATAAGAAAATCTAGGGAAAATTTCTTTGAAAAATCTAAAAAAGAAAATTTTTCTAGGGTTCTTGAGGTGGTCTCTTTCTTAAAGCCATTTTAGTCAGCTTCTTTACAGAAAATATACGAAAAAAAATGGTTTGAGTTCACCCTTCATCCGAGTTCATTTCATTCGTTTTTTTTAAGAGAAAACCCAAAAAAAAAAGTCACTAAAAACAGAGATTCTTTTTTTAGCCTTGTTTCTTTCTCTTGATTTTTGGTTCTAAAAAAGAAGTTTTGGATTAAATTTCGAGTTAAAGTTTGGTGGCTGGGGTTCGGAATCTCTGCACTCTGTTGATTTCTTGCCCGGATTTGTCTTGCACAATTTCGATTTGGGTCGCCGCTTCTGCTCGATAACACTATTGTTCTCAGTTGGAATTTTGGACCAAAACATTGTATCTGCTGATTCTTCTATTGTTATTAAAAGAATTGTGAATAAACAGGTTCATCTTTTCTCCTTTTTCTCTGTTATTCTAGATGCTACTTTCGTATTATTGTGATTGAAAATGGTGATGCCCTATTCTCCTAGCTACTGTGATTGTAGTCTCAATTTGTGATTAAAGACAGATGTTTGATATTTTTTTGTTGTTGTTAGAAATTCGGTTTGGTGGATTGATATGTTTGAACATGAGCAATTGGAAATTGAAGTGTTTAGGTTATAATTTCATTTATGGATGATCGACTTAGCTTCGGTTTATTGATGCTTTAATTTATCTGCCTTGGCTAGTTTCTATTCGATGCTTGTGCCAATTCGTATCCCTGTCTCACGCTGAAATGCATTGTTAAGTTCCATATTCTCGAAACTGTGCATATATTGCATATGTGAGCAGTTACTTTGCATCCCATGCACCAAAGTGATATTCTTGTGGTCAAAATTGATTAAACGTGTGCTCTTTCTCGTTAAAATTTTCAGAAGTTGGTGAAATGGTCATGAAGGGTCATCTGTTTTGATTCAGTTCTTGTATGAATTGACTAGAAGTCAGAATCACTAACGAATCTGTTTGGTTTTCATTTGGTCTCTAATACACATGTTAAAGCATTTCCACTTATAAAAATTGAATTAATTGCTTGTTTTTTTTCTTTGAAGTGAACCACTAATTAAAATTTGTTGAAAACATCTGGTT